ACATCCTTGCCTAAAGTTGGTGGACAAAGAGTTGACTAATCAGCTCCGTACCGTACTAACTTTTGCAAGGGTATGAGTTTGTCCTTTGTGTGCATAAGAACAAGACAACAACTATCGTGCTAAGCAAGCTTCTTTTGATCGCTGAATGCTGGGATGACCTAGAGGTCTCATCATCATTCGCTGAAGCTAGAGCAGTCTTCACACATATGTAGACAGGTTTGTTATCACTGAATACCGCTTCAGATCATGTACTCGCCAGTCTCTAATCTTCAGTTTCAGTCTTCGACGTTCGCTGAAGGTTCTTTGGTGTGAGTGTTGTCTTTTTGAAGTATTGTCGTCTCTGATGAATTTACAATGCAAGTTCTTCAGCGATCACTGAACATACTCAGTGATAAACACAAATACAACGTGAAAGGAAAAATGGATTATCATCAAATCACTGAGAGAGATGATCAACAAGGAACTTTTGAGGATTTGGAGTCCTTAGGTGAAGCATTCACCTTGAGCTGAGACTTAGATTTCTAAGAAGATTCAGATTTCTTAGTCCCTGAAGAAGAAGAAGGTTTACAAGCTGAAGGAATAGATTTAGATCTATTTGACTTGTTAGTCTTTTTGGGAAGAGGTGCTTTGACAATGGATTTAACCTTGTTTTTGCAGCCTGAACTGGAAGGAGTTCCATCAAGATGACTCTCAGTGAAAGAATACTAAGAGGAAGAAGTATCAGGAATAGAAGAGACAAAGGTACCAAACTTGAGCATGGACCTGTCAGTGACACTGTCTTCTTGATCATAGAAGAATCCTAGACCAGTCTTTATCTTGGTAGGGATCTGAGCGGTAATGATCTCTGAGGCCTTGACAGAGGCTTTGCACCATCCTTCTATGGTAGCCTTCTCAGCCTTGAGTACAACAATTGATTGCTCACGCTCAGCTATATCTTGTTCGCGTTCGACAATGATGGTTTGGTTCACAATGACCTGATCCTTAAGATTTTCTTCAACCTTAGTCAGCTCTTTGATCTTTGAATGACAAATCTTCAACTGTTCTTGAAGATCAAGATTAAGCATTTCTGCTTTAGACTTGCCATTCAGAGCATTGTAAGGTACACCGTCAGCGTGTCTAACGCTGATAGGCTAAAAGAGGAAGAAGAAGAGGGTTCATTCAAGAGACATACCTGAGCAGGTGAGGATGATGAGGGATCATTAGAGGTTGATGTCTCTTAAGCTTCTTCTTTCACATCTTTGGCCATTAAGCAAAGATAGGTCGTATCTATTCATTAGATGATGATTTATCAGATGAATCAGCCCAGTCGTGCTCTTCAACGACAAGACCCTTGGCCTTTTGTTGGAAGTTCTTCATCTTCTTATACTTCTCCTTCAGCTTTAGGTATTTATCATCCTTAGATCTGAAGGAGGATGGGGTTTTTGAAGATGGCTTCATAGCCTTCTTAGACCTGCATTCACCAGCAAACTGACCCTTGCGGTGACAGTTGTAGCAGATCGCTGAGGCCTTGTCTATATTATCAGACTTTGGCTTTTCCTTTATGGTCAGCGAAGGAGATCGACGGAAGTTATTTTTCTTGGCGAATCTCCTAAAAGATTAAGTTAATAGCACAATGATTCATCAAAATCTGTGAGATCAGATTCTGATAAATCCTCAGAGTTAGTAGAATCTAACTCAATAATAACAACAGGAGGAAGAGAAGAAGAAAAAGAAGAAGAAGAAGAAGATGGGAGTTCAGCTGAAGCATCTTTAGAGATTAGAGCTAACAGAGAGCTCTTCATTTCTCTGGAATCCTTGATTAGATTCCTTTTTAGCTGTTGAGACTGCTCATGATTAAGCAGTATCCCATAAAGAGTGCTGAAAGAGAGAGAGAGAGAGAGAGGGGACATGTCATTGGACATCTTGAGACACATGGCGTAAGTATCCCAAGACTCAGGTAAATATTCTAGAAACTTTTTCAAAGTTTCAAAGTTAGAATATTCCCTGCCTACAGTCCTTAAATCGATGAGAAGACAGTTAAGGCATTGATGTACATCAGACAATGTCTCACTCTTTCCACAGAGAAAGCTTTCATATTGTCTTACTAAACTAATCTTTCTCGATTCTTGAACCTGAGAGGTTCCTTCATAATGAACACATAAAGTGTCCTACATGGCTTTAGAAGTTCTGAGTTTCATCACAAAATGATAATCCTCATCAGGAAGTGACATAGCTATTATAGACCTAGCACGAGTGTCTATAGCTATCTTCTTCTTGTCTTCATCGCTCCATTGATGAGGGAGCTTTGAAATCTGCCGTTCAGGAATTGCAGCAGTCATAGCTGTTTCAGGAACAGCCGGAGAAATAGTATATGGAACATATGGTCCATTTTCTATATAGTGTGAAATTTCAGGATCCACACCATCCAGAAAGAGAGACATCCAATTTTTCCAAAGACTAAAGTTGTCTCGGATAAAATGGGGTGGTTTGGCAAGAGAGCCATTATCTTGAAAGTGTGTGTTTGTGTTTTGTAAAGCCATTTGAAAGCAGTAAGATTATCTAAAGAAAAATATAATATAATGCAAAAAAACAACAAAACAACAAGAATAGAGATTACACTACTCTAATACCGTTTGTTGGTCCCGTTAGGGTCTACTAGATATGCATAACAGTTTGTATAAGGGGGGGGATGAATACAAACACATTAAACATTTTAAATTTAAAATATATATTGATAAAGAAAGATCAATACAGATTTTACAAGATTGTTTGCGGAAAGATAAGGTAAAAATAACCTATCTAAACAATCTAAGTTACACACATGTTCTTAGCAAAGAGAAATGTTTTGTTGTAAAAGACTTAGAAGGAAGTTAGTTCTTTCTGGGTAAGAACTATTTACAATACAAAAAGGGATTCTAAGTTGCTTTTGAAGATAAGCGTATTGTGTTCTTAGATATGTGTTCTTTTACTTATGAACGTAAGTTAGGGTTCAAGAGTAAGTATTAGAGTGTCTTTGCATGGAGATAGAACACATCTATTTATACCTATTGCGTTAAATGCACATTTAATGCAACGTAGTAGGGTTTGAACACGTGTCAAGTCTTTAGAGAAAGACTTTTCTTTTGCTACAGTAATAGTACAAAAACCTATTCATGAGCAGACATCCTTACATAAAGTTGGTAGGTAGTAGAGTCTACTAATCGGCTCCGTACCATACTATACTTTAGAAAGGGTATGGGTTTGTCCTTTGTGTGTATAAGGACAAGACAAAAGCAATCGTGCTCAACAAGCTTCTTTTGATCGTTGAATGTTGGAATAACCTAAAGGTCTCTTCAGCATTCACTGAGGCTTGGGCAGACTTCACACATGTATAGACCAGGTTGTAATCACTGAATATCGCTTCAGATCACGTACTTGCCAGTCTCTAATCTTCAGTTGCAGTCTTCGAATTTTGCTGAAGGTTTTTTGGTGTGAGTTTTGTCTTCTTGAAGTATCGCTGTCGTTGATAGATTTACATTATATGTTCTCAGCGATCACTGAACAGACTCAGTGATGATCGCTGGAACTGAAAGACAAAAACTTAAATACTTCGTATAAGGTAAAAAGAGATTATCATCAAATCACTGAGAGAGAGGATCAACAAGTTATGTATTCATTTGGTGCCATATATTTATAGCGAACATGGAAATTATTTACTACAACCGTGAAGTACCTAGCCAAGAAGTGAAAGAATACACGTGAAAGACTTTTCTTATCAAATATCTCTTTTCCATTATCCAATACATGTATTTGTCCTCTAGTAAAGACTTTTCTTATCAAAGATTTCGTTTCCATTATCCGATACATACATCTAGTGAAAAGTATATTACTACACCACCTTTTAAATTATCCAATACATACAATGTCCATGCATTTGTACTTTTGACGAGATATTTCTTTTCCATTATCCAATACATGGATTGTCCTCTAGTGAAATTCTTTCATTACATTCGTAAATTACAAGACACAAGTGAAATACTACATGCAATTGTCATCTAGTGAAGAATACATGCAATCTTGAATGACTATTGACACAACCTTTTTCCATGTGATTTTATTTAACCATACATGCACTCAAGATTGAGTACGAAGAACTATTAATACCTTCATAATTTCCTTAATCTTACAAGTTTTCTCTTAAAATGAATTTTAACTTCAAAAATACATTGCACTCTCTCCTTCCTGAATCTTCTTCAAACAATGAAAATTTGCAAATTATATCCATTTTTGAAGAAGATGAAGAAGCAATATCTCGCTCCATCACTAATAACAGCTTGCTCATCCAACACATTTCGAATCAATTAAATAATCGGGTGAATACCTGGGTTCTGACAGGTTGGGCGGACGGTCTCTCAAGCGATGACTGATTGATCGGTCACCAACCTACAAGACCAAGAATTTGAAGAAAGATCTCCCTTACCCAACCAGAAATCAAGCGGGTAAGAAGGAACTTTTGCATCGGCTCTCTCTCGTTCTCGTTAGGGAATTGATTTGTTCATAAGTCGTGGTCGAGAAAGCGCAATTTCTAGGTTGTTTAATGATTACTTTTCTGAAACCCTGGTGTACAATGATGTCATGTTTCGCCAGAGATTTCAATTTTTCGTTCATTGTTCCTTCGTATTATTGATGAAGTTAAGTCACATGATAGGTATTTTGCACAACAGAGGGATCTTGTTGGTAGACTTGGATTATCTCCTCTCTAGAAAATAACAGTTGTGTTTCGTATGCTTGCATATGGTCAAGCAACAGATTCCACCGACGAGTATGTTAAGATAGGACAATCAACATCAATTGAAAGTATGAAGAGATTTTGTCGATCAGTAGTGGAAATATTTTTAGGGCAGTATTTGAGATCACCAATTGCTATTGATGTTGCAAAACTTCTATATATTGGTGAAAAAAGAGGTTTTTTAGGAATGTTGGGAAGCTTAGATTGCATGCACTGGAAATGGAAAAATTGTCCAACTGCCTGGGCTGGGCAATATGCGTGTCGTGGTGGATCACCAACTATTATTCTTGAAGTTGTCGCAGATTATGATATTTGGATATGGCATGCTTATTTCAGTATGCCAGGCACACACAACCATATCAATGTGTTGGAGTCTTCTCACCTTTTCTCCAATCTTGCTCAAGGTATTGCTCCTCCCATTCGTTACTTCATTCAAGGAATATGATATGAGTTATTACTTGGCGGATAGCATATATCCAAAATGGTCCGTCCACCTTAGTGCAAACTATTTATGAACCATGAAGTAAAAAAAATAAATTTCACTATGCAACAAGAAGCATGTAGAAAAGACGTAGAGCGTGCATTTGGCGTTCTCCAATCACGTTTCACAATTGTAGTAGGACCGGCTCGTTTTTGGCAAAAATACGTGTTACATGATACAATGAATTACATGTATTATTTTACATAACACGATAATTAAGGATGAACGTGATCTCGATGCACCAAATGAAGTTGCAAGAGAAGTGCCACCGATAGGTTGAAAAGGTGTGAATGATAATAACCAATTTCAACAATTTCTCGCTCATTATGGACAAATCAAAGACAAAGTAGCATACTTTGAGCTTTGGAATGGGTTAATCGATCATTTGTGGGAAAAATATAGTAATGAAAATAATTAAGTGCATATGTATTCTCTTTTTTATTTGTTTTAATGTAACTTTCGTTGTTTGATAGAAAGTTTTATTTTATACAATAAAATAATTTAATTCATAACTAATAAAAAATAAAAAAATATGTATATAAATTGTAAAGTTAATAAATATAAGGATATTATTGAAAGTTTAATAAATTAATATAAAAGTGGTTTGGTGTAAACAATAGTGTTACCCATTGGAGAAGATTTATGGGTTGTTTGGCAGTTGCTGAATGGTTTGGTGCAGAATGACTAAGTGGTCAGAATGATTAAGAGACTCTAATAATATAGTGCAAAATGAAATATAAATGTTTGGTAAATATTCAGAATGAAATTAGATGTTGAATGGTTAAGGAATACATAAGATAGAAAATCATTCAGAGGGTTTTAGAACCATTAAGAGACAGACTTTTTTTTTGCCAAACAATAATCACCTCTTAACGATTCAGAGGTTGTCTCTTAATGGAACTATTAAGAGGTAAACAAATAACCCTATTGTTAACACTAAACTTTACACTACTTCTCATAGTTGGTGTAAAATATAGTGTGACCCATTAGAGATAAAAAGAATTGGTTATGAAGAGGAGGGTAGCATTAGAAGAAATATGCTTCAAGACCACATTGAACTTCATTCAAGTACCGTTATTGACAAATCTATTACATAAATAGATTCCGGTTAATCCAAATATCCAATTAGTTGATTCAAAGTGTTATAAATAAGGATTTTTGATCTCAAAGTTTCTAAGCCCTTGGTTTTATGAAAATCTGGTGAGAAGAGTGAAGCTTTTTGATCCCTTTGTTTGAGGAATTCAAAGGTACCGTCTGTTTGGATTAAAACTGATTTTGGGGTTTCAAGTGTGATTAAATTATTGGGTGTCGTTGAATTTGTTTGTTCTGTTTGGAAATGGAAAAACAAACCAGAAAAGTTGTTGTTTGATCTGTTGGATATCTAAGATCAGTGCTAAATTGTTGATGAAATTGGTATATCTGTCAACCTTGTAAAACTTGCAGGGTTGTAAATATGTAGGCTCAAGTGCTTAATCCTTAGCTGCTAAAAACCCTGATTGCTACTTTATAACTTCATATTAACTGACAGGCTGTGATAGAGGTAGGGTTAATTGCTCCCCTCGTCAATCTACTCCACACAGCTAAATTTCATATAATAAACGAGGTTGCATGGGCAATATCAAATGGTAGTACCAATGAGCAAATCAAGTGTGGTTCTTTTTAACATTCTTTCACAATATTAATATTTCTAACACTACAATGGTTCATGGGTATTCGGGTTTCTTGGTATATGAATTGAACTCTTATTAACCCTAATTAAATGAGCTGGTTGGTTTCAACTTGCAGGGTTTTTCAGAGTAAGATGAAATACGATAGTGGTGTCAAATATCGGTCAAGCCTGTTAGGTCGGGTTGAGTCATCGAGTCAAGTCAAAGCATCTTGTTTACATAATACTTCATATGCAAACATGTTAACACACCCGAACTTTAATATGCCTTTTTTTTGTCAAAACAATAGCTAATCGAACTCCATATCAGCCCACTTTAGGTATTTCCTAAAAAAACAACTCTTTCTATGAACAAAAAAATAAAAAGCTGAACATTTGGCAAATGCTACATTTAAAATAGAACAACAAAGATGATTTGTGTCTATAATAAATGGTTTGCTAAACTTACAAGAAAGTTGTTTTTATGGCTAATTATTAAGCTAAAGGATTGATGAAAAGACYTTTAGGTGTTACAGAAAGTTATGTGGAAGTTTGTTATGGAAGGTGGGGGATTCGATTTCAAGTGATCCATGCGYGATATCCGCCAGCAGGTACGTACGATATCGATAAAGAACGAGAATTAAATGACTTTGAATTTAACTTTAGGATATGAAAAAATTGACCAGTTTTGCATGTTATCAAGGCACACATATTTAATTTAGCATATTATAAATAAATGCTTGTGTTTGAAATTATTTGCAATTGGACGATTAT